GTTCTCATTTGATTAAGCCCCTATATATATATATATATATATATATATATATATATATAGTAACAATTTAATATACTATTCGGTTTAATAAAATAGTAAAAAATTTATCGAGAATATGAACCATTTAATTTAAAATGAATAATCCGAAACTATTTTGATTGGTTTGGATGGATTATTTAACTTCGAAATTTTTCACACCGAGGTGTGTCTCCAATCATCTAAATTTTTGGATCCATCATTGCTCTTAAGATGCGTTTGGTACTCAGACCGGATAGAACAAAACAAGACATAACTTTTTAACGTTTGGTAAGACCAATTTACCCCTAATGAATTGTTTATATATTTTTCATATTTTGATTTAATTATGTAATTTATTAATTTACAATAAAATAAATATTTTATATAATAAAAACAAATCATTAGAAAGTTTTTGTCAATGCGATTAGAATGACTCCAAAATAAAAAATTATATAGTTTTTAAAATTTTATTTTATACATATGTTTTCTATATATTCTTTTTAATTATAAATATTTAATAAATTATGTAAATTAATCAAAATATAAAAATAATACTTTAAGAATAGTAAAGAGAATTTATAAATCAAAAAATACAATAAAAAAATGAATAAAAATGTGAAAAAGAAGGCGCATTTGATATTTTAGGTGAAAATTAAGTTTTATGTTGAAGTTATATTTGTAAGTCTAAGGGACCGTTTACCAAACGCTTATATCCGCCGGAAATATTGAAATTGTTTAATAAATTCCAAAATATATGAATATTTAATTAAATATTTAAAAAAAAACAAAAAATATTTAATTTTATTTTTTATTTATTTTTTTGAAATTCTTATTTATTTAAGTTTTTCCGGCGAGAAAAGACTCCGGCGGATATATCCGTCGGAAAATTCCTTAATTTTTTTTATTTTTTAATTAAGCCGGCGAAAGATTTCCGGCGGCCGAAATCCGCCGGAAAAGTGAAGAATCCGCCGGAAAACACGACGGAAAATAAATCACCGGCGCCCTCTTTTCCGGCGGACAAATGCGCTGAAAAACCCAATTTCCGGCGGATTTCCGGTGGATTTGTCCGCCGTAAAAGAGGGTAATTTTGGTAGTGACTCGGGTAAACGCTTATCAATTCACATTATCTCATCGGATGGATATGGTAAGGACTAAAAATCTTACCCGGTAAGAACGAGAAAATGACCAAGAATCTTACCCGGTAAGTGAGGGCGACGACTCTTACCATGGTAAGCAATTACCGGATAAATTATTGCATGCGATGTCGTTTTGGTGGATAAAAATCTTATCTGGTAAGTATATAATAGTGTTAAATTTTATTGGTAAGCACTTACCAGGTAGATATTTGGTAAACATCCCCTAAGGGGTTGTTCGGTTCGTTTGCTGTTAAGACCTGTATGGATATAGTTGTCTGTATTGATATAGTTGTCTGTATATTAACAAATAAGTTGTTGTTCGGTTGTTGTGCTGAATAAACAGTCTGAATGTCGGAAATGACCATTTTACCCCCAATTTTTATTTTTGTATGAATAAAACAATAGTTTGATAAAAAAAATTAACAAATGACTTTTTAATTGTAAATTTTTGTGGATCAATTTTATTACATTAGGTACCCCGTAACAAGAGCAACATGCAGATCAAATGAAACCAAAATGTTGAATCAAATGAAACCCCAATTCAAAAGAATTCAAATCAGTGAAAGTTAATCAAAAGAGTAAATATTTGACAAAAAAAAAACCTTCTAAAAACATATTTTTACAAAAACCTTTGAACTTCTAATCTCCATTTGTTGCCCAATTTGAAAAAGAAAAGCTAAAGCAAAGATAAATGATCTGTTTTCTGGATCATTCTCTCGAATTTATGTACCCACTCGTCTCAAACGCGGTGGCGCCGTTCTCTTCTCCCTCTCTTGGCCTCTTCATCGACAAATCGGAGACGGGGCGGCGACGGTGGTCTGTTCGGCCATCTCTGCAACTGCGCCCTGAACCCCCCAAGTTCATCAAAGTCCGTCTTGAAGCCCTAGATTGTTTCAACGCCACCAATCGTAGTCTCCCTGGATGCGGACCTGGCAGCTCTTCAGATCGAACTCGGACCTCTGTAGTCAGCGATCTCCGCTCACGAATTGATCCAGACGGCGGCGAGGTTGAAGATGAAGATGAAGAAGGTGAGGTTGAAGATGAAGATGAAGATGAAAAAGTTCCATCTAGGTTTGATAAGGAATGAATCGATCTAGATAGATATGCTTCAATTTTGGGGGAAAAGAGGGGAAGGGCATATTCGAAATAACTGGTTGAATAAGTGACTGAGTCCATAGAACTCCACTTTTCTGGCTAACCAGTTAAGCCATCGGCTGACCGAATAAGCCAAAAGCAAACAGCAATGTATGGCTGACCAAATAAGCGATACAGGTTTAACAACTTATTAAGCCATTACCGAACAGCCCCTAAGTCTCTTTCAACTTGTTTCATAGAGTGAGGTTGGAACATGTTTATTATACTTTGTTCCTGTTTGTTCTATATACCACACATGAAATATTGATTTACATTTTTTTCTGTTATATCATATCCAGTACACCAAAAACATCCTTAATGATAAAATATTGCTCTTCATGTAATCACTAGATCTTGTTAGGCTAAATATCAAAGTTCCCTCTAGATGTTTTGTGTTTTAATGTGATTACTTATAAAGTAATTAATACAATATTTTGTTTTAAAAATATTTCAATAAACTTGTCAAAATGTTCAATACACATCCTATAAATCTACTGTAACTCTTTTAAATAAGAAGATTAATTATTTTTTGTGTTGAATTTTATTATCATAATAAAAATATTCATTTACAAATTTTTATCACAAGTGTTGGGACCTTTCCTATTACAATGTTCATTTAAAACCTACATGTGTGTGCATGTATGTGTTTTTCTGTGTCAATTATTTTGAAATAACAATCCATCAAATATTTGATCTAACACATGACTGATTTCCATATTATCGAATTGGAAATCAATCGATAATCGTTTAATCTTTTGATTACCATTTAGAGGCCACTACCAATAATGGAATCCTGATCATTATATATATATATATATATATATATATATATATATCAAATGGTAGCATGAGAAGAAAGAGCTAGGGGTTATGCTTATAGAGCCTTGACTATAATAGATACATATGTATGTATGTATGTATATATATATATATATATATATATATATCCTTACAACTTATCATATATCTCTCATATTTACAGTAATTTTGTAGCTTTGATTGTTTATCTCTATTTCACCCTCGACTCTCTGCAGGAAACCCTACAAATTATGTTGGTTGTTAATTAGTAGACATCCTCTTGAGATACTCATAGGTGGTGATGGTTGTAGTTGCAGAAAGTGACATTGATGCCCATCTTGGCCCCAACCCTCGATAACAAGCACTCAATCCACCTTCTTTCACCAAATTCCTTACAGTCCGACCAACACTTTTATCACCACCATCGGATCCTTCTAAAACTTGCAATCTCGTTTTGATTGTATCCAATGGCATTGTAACCAATGCCGAAAGCCCGCTAGCTATGGTTGCACTCACACCCTGCACCGCCACCACCGCCATTGAATCCGCCTTAAACCCACCACCACCAACATTTTCTTCTTTCTTGAAACTATGAGAACGAATACCACCCCAAATGGATCGATACGCCATGGAGTAAGAAGCCCACCACACTGCGTTGGAAGGAGCATATGTCAAGATTGAAATCCCGAAACCCTTATACAATCCCCTAACACCATCTCTTTGAATTATCCTCTTAAAAGCATCAATGCCACCATTGTATATGGCTGCACCACCCTTTCCACCTTGGACCATTAATCTCTGGCTCACCACATCGATCGGGGTCCAAACCAACTGAGCCGCCATGGCTGCAGTTAACCCAGCTGCAGCATTCGCAATGGCAGCCGCTTTGACCTCCGAAAACCCCATTTTTACAGTGGTACAACTAAGATTACTCTTGGTCACTTCCAAGGCACCCATGTAAAGAGCTCTTGCCGGAATAGTACCCATTAAAGAAGTCCCGAACCCTCTATATAATGCCCTAAAACCCTCATGCCTTAGAATCGAAACCGCCATCTTGAAGCAAGGCATGTGTTTCAGGAGAACTTGTTGGCGTGTTTTCAACACAACAGCCGGGTATAACATGCCGGAAACACCGGAAAACAAACCAGCACCAAGGAAGAAGAACTTGGATTTATCCAGCATCTCCCAATCAATGTCAGCAGGAAGATGTATTTCAATTCTTGAATCATCCTCCGCCACCCCCAAACTCATCCTTGTCACTTTCTCCAGTGGCGGAACGTCCGTCGGAGAGTAAATTAAAGATTTGGCGAATGGTTTGGATAGAGAAAGGGAGTTGTCTGATTATAAGGAGGGAGGGAGGGAGGGGGGCAAGTAGATATTGCGGCCAAGCGTTTTGGCCATTTGGTATGGTAGGGGTCACTTAACATTTCGAGGATATAGGGGACAATTTGATTGTGTTTTGTCTTGTCTTAGTTTTGTTTTGTTTATGATAAATATTAATGTGATTCTAAATTAAATAAACTTTTCTCTACTTTTGCTGATTAAATCTTTTTTGCCATGTATTTTTATACTCATGCATGTCAACATATATCTCTTTATTATATCAACAACTCATGAACAGGGGCGGACCGCCTAAGGGGCCTATAGGGGCCCTGGCCCTGTGATTTTTTCCCCACTTAGCATACAACAGTGTAATCCATTACCTTTTAGATTCAAAAAATTTCAACCGGCCTCCCCCTTCCAAATCCAATCCCGAGAAGCGAGCGAGAGCGATTACCCATAAGGCCATAACCCACTGCCGAATGCAGCTTGTGTGAGGACGAGGAGGGCGACCAGTGTAGACGGAGGCACGGAGCCACGAAGGCGGAGGCGGCACTGCAGGCGGAGGCGGCATTGCAGACGGAGGTGGCGGCGTTAGGCGGAGGCGGCGGCCAGCCACGGTAACTCCCAGTCCCTGTAAGTCCGTCCTCGGTCCTTCTCAGTTCTACTGCTTGCTTCTCTGCTGATTGCTGCTTGTTGCACACTTGCACTTCACTTGCACAGTTGCACCTTTTGTTTTGAAATCAAAACCCAAAAGTGGTGATTTACAGTTTACTGATTTAGCATTTAGGTGAT